CTGTTCTTGTGAATTACTTTTCACACAATAGAGGTGTAGTCCCTACTGTTCTCCAAATCACTTACCTTCCTGGTCACATTGGTGAGTACAGGCGCTGGTCACTGGTCGCTTGAACAAGCTTTCACTCCACAGGTACTGCCTACTTTTGAATGGCAGCTCTGGGTCTCTGAAGTGGTGTGTCTGCCTGCTCTTTACCTCTCCTTTGCATCTGGAGAAGAGGCTGGACATAATTCCAGAAATGGCACTGTTATGTCCTTGTCTTCATAGTTCTTGGTGTGCATTGTGGCTAAAGCCCAAAGCCAGACTATCATTTAGTTTTGGGAGCTCACAGAGCAGGCTTGGTTCCTGTGATAAGCTGTGTCTTTAGGCTTTTGGAAAGTGTGGGGCAGAGAACTGTTGTCACAGCTAACTGAAGCAGAGGGTCTTCTCCTTCCTCAACATATGACAACTCAGCTGTGTTGCTCATACTGTGCCTTATCTATTCCCTAGGCACTGAGCCAGCCCTGAAACTAACGAAAGCCTGGCACCAACTCTACCCTTGTCACTGCTGCAGGCAGGTGAGAGTGTGCTCCTGGGCTGTCAGCTCTGCAGCCTCTGAGGAGGAGCTCCAGGCTCCTGCTCCAGGGCTTTGCTCCCAGGAGGAGATGTCTGGTTAAGTGCTAGGCTCAGCCTGTAGTGTGTGCCCAGTCTCATTAGGTAGCGCATTTTGTTCTGCAAACCTGTCTGCATTGTCTCATCTGACAGCAATGTGAATATTGTAATGTAAGTGGAGGTGAGATTATCTTGAGTTTGAGATTCTTGCTTTTCTCACAGGTTGGGTAATCATTAGCCAACTTCAGACATATTTTATGGAGAATGTGTGTTTGGGTAGAAGAGAGCAGTCCAAATTTAACACTACCATGAGAGAAAGACAAGCAGAGCTCTCAGCTACTTCACTCTTGGGCAGCATTTGGGTACTTTGTAAGTGTGTTTATAGCCTACTGCAATCTGCAACATACGCTATATTGAGTTCTGTGGAGCATTTCCAGGAAGGTGATGGGGTGGTAGTAGGGGAATATGAGGCATAGACACCTGGAACCAGGCTCTGACTTCCTTGTGTGACTTTTTTCCCCTCTTTTTACAGGTACCAGAGATAAATCAGGACGTGCAGTGGCCATAATAACAACAAGGAATACAGCCTGGTTAAACCCCCACTGCAATACCACTGAGCTTGTACGCCTTCTTCTGTACTTGCATAGCATCCCAAGGTTTGTGACACTCTTGGGCTGACAGTGTGGACAGCTGCTGCTGTGTCCGCTTTGCCTTCCGGGGGGTGGAAGCTGAGGCAGTGAGTGGAACGGGTTGACTTCATTGGCCTAGGAACCTGGTCCAGACAGTCTCAAAACTGTACAGATGGGGATATCCTGCTAGGGTGAACTGACTGGTGCTCAGTAAGCACTTTGGCTACTCTGTATGTGCCTTGTGCACATGGTGTGGTAGAATTAGGTATGTACTGAATGTTTTCATGCATTGCCATGAATCCATGCCATTCTTGTTCTCCTTCATTAGCTCAGAAAATGGGATTTGGGAGCTTTGATGGGGCAGTCACACAGCAGCTCCGTGATACAGTGTTGTGACATGACATTTTTAGGTCCCAGCCTCCATGCTGAGAGGGAGGGAGGATCTGCAAGGGTTGAGAAAATCTGCCTTGATGTCTGGCTGACAATTATTTTTGGAATCTGCAGTTTGCTGCAACTACTCTTCCTTTCACTATGACAGACCTTCCCCCCCAGCTCATCTCAGTGTCTGCTGAGAGTTTATTTCACTTTTAGATGATTAAAGTAGTAAGAGGTAAAGCTAACTCTTGGTTAGTGATTTTTTTTTTATTTTTTAAATTTTCTAAATTTTAAATTTTTTTAAATTTTTAAATTTTTTTTACCTTTTTTAACCTTTTTTAACCTTTTTCCTTTTTTTTTACTTTTTACTTTTTTTTTACTTGCCTTCAACCCATTGATAAAGGGAGCAGGCTTAACCCATGAGAAAGCTTCTGCTACTCATGCTTTCTTATGCTTCTCCCTTCAAATCTGATTCTGGGCAAGATAGGCTTTGGGTCTGATCCAGACTGGCTGGTCTTGTGAAGGAGTGTGGCGCAGGGGCAGACTT